AAAAAAAAAAAAAAAAAAAGAGAGAGAGAAGAGGGTACAGACAACAGGCCCAAGACAACAGGCCCAAGATCTCTCTTTACTACAAACTCATTGTAGGGGTTTAGGCAAGAGATTTCCTATCTCAGGGTCTCAGTTTCTGCATCTGTAAAATGGGAATAATATCACAGCATGAGGAACTGGAAAGGGCTGTGAGCCAGCAGCAGGAGGCCTGGTCAGCCCTAGTTCTGTGTTGTTGTCTCTTTGACCCTAAGAAAGACCCTCCCTTCTCTGGGTCTCAGTTCCCATCTGTAAAGTGAGGAAACTGGGCGAGGTGATTCCCAAGAATCCTTCCAGCTTGCTGGTCAGTGATTTCTATGCATTTAAATGGCCCAGGCTTAGCTAAGAGCACTCTCATGCCTAATGTCCCCAAGGAAGCCCAGCCTGTGATGGTACAGATTACTCCACCTTACCTGACTTTGTCTGACCTTGGACAAATGAGAAACACTCTGTCTGAGCCTCCATTTCTTTTTTTTTCTTTTTTTTTTTTTTTGAGCCAGAGTCTTGCTCTGTCACCTAGGCTGGAGTACAGTGAAAAAAAAAAAAGGAGAGGAGGCTGCCACTTTTGTCATCTTGCCCTGCTTACATCTTCAAAAAAATTTTCTTAGGTGCTAATGATTTTCCAAGCCCATTGAAGGCAGCATTGGGGAGGGGCCCTCCCTCCAGAGCCAGCCTGCCTGGGTTGAATCATGGCTGTACTGCTTCTATGGGATCTTAGAAAGCTGCTTAACCTCTCTGAGCCTCAGTTTCTGCATCTGTTAAATAGGGGAAAAGGAAGGGCCTCCCACTTAGTGTTGTGGGTACTGGAGAGCTGATACTAGAACACTTACAAGCGCATGTGTTGGTCACATGGGAGGTGTGCCGTTGAAGCTGCTGCTGCTGTTATTGCTGGGTCCTCCCGGCAGTCCTTGGGGTGAGGCAGCGCAGAGGTGGTTTTCCCTGTATGTGGGGCCTGACCTTGGGCTTGCAGAGCAAATGTGTGGTACAGTCCACATCTGAACCCAGGTTCTCTGCCACCTGGCCCAGGCCAGATGACCAGCGTGGGGGTCATTTGGTGATCAAACCTCTGGCCATGTCTCCAGGAAGAGGCAGGCCTTAAGGACCTCACCTTGCATGGGTGAGGACCCTGCAAGGAGCTGGGAGAGATGGGGGCCTGGCAGGAAGGCAGGGTTCTTTAGATAAGTGCTGGGAGGTGGGGGAGTTCTCACACCCTGGGGTCCTGGGAGAGGGCAAAGCAGAGAGGGCATCCTAGCCCTGGGGGCCTGGGGTGCAGGAGGGAGGCTCTGCGGCCTCCCTGCCTGGGTAGCAGAACTGGAGTGCCTGACACCTGCCTGCCCTCAATAGGGCATGACCATTCGGCCCCTGGTAGACCTGTTGGCTGTGAAGAAAAAGCAAGAGACGAAACGCTCCATCAACGAGGAGATCCACACACAGGTACTGGAGTGCAGGCCGGGCCCTTGGTTGCAGGAGAAGGAGCAGGGAGCTGGGGAGCAGCTGTGCCTCAGGTCCCTGCCCCCCATCAGCCCCTCCTCCCTGTGTTGGTGCCCAGGGGCTCCCTCTGCTCAGGAGGCCACCAGGGTCTAGCCATAGGAAGGTGTGGTGTGAGCAGCTGGGAGCCTGAGGAGGGTGCATCATGCCATTTCTGCCTCCATTTGAAACCTATGCCAGGCATGGGTCCCAGGTGGGATTAGAGAAGGGGGTTCAGCCAGACACAGGTGAAGGTTCGAGATACCAAGTCAGGGGCACTGGGTTCGATGAGCGGGGTGTGGGCGCCACCTCCTGGCTGCTCATGGAACCACAGGGCTGGACCAAGCAGGGCTGCAGCTCAGGGAGGAAGCAGGGCTAGTCAGAGGTCTTGGTAGGGAAGGCGCCCCACAGCGAGGCTTGACCTGGCCCTGGGCCCCTTTCAGTTCCTGGACCACCTTCTGACAGGCATCGAGGACATCTGTGGCCACTACGGTCACCACCACTGGAAGGACAAGTAGGTGGCAGGCCTGGTGGGCAGGCAGGGAGGGGCAGGCAAGGGTCTCCCGGGCCTGGGCATCTCCCCACTCCTGGGAGCTGGCTCCATCCATCTCCCTCCTCCTCTCACCAGGCTCAACCGGTTTAATAAGAAATACGTGAAGAAGTGTCTGATAGCCGGCGAACGCTCCAAGGAGCCCCAGCTCATTGCCTTCTACCACAAGATGGAGATGAAGCAGGCCATCGAGCTGGTGGAGAGCGGGGGCATGGGCAAGATCCCCTCTGCTGTCTCCACCGTCTCCATGCAGTGAGTGTCGGGGCCACGCAGGGGTCTTCTCTCCCACACACCAGCCGGCAAGCCCAGCTGGGGGCGGGGCCCTCTGTTGTCCTGTTGGGGTGGAGAAGAGAGCTGTAGGCTCACACCAAGGACCTGAGGCTTTGGTGCCCACCTGGATCATCCCCAGGGTGACCTCCTTCTGCCCCAGCCTGGAAGGCTCCAGGATCCCAGGAGTCTTGGGGACCTAACGTCTGCCCTGTTGCCCCAGGAACATCCACCCCAAGTCGCTGCCTTCCGAGCGCATCCTGCCCGCGCTGTCCAAGGACAAGGAGGAGGAGATCCGCAAAATCCTGAGGAACAACTTACAGAAGACCAGGCAGCGGGTGAGGACCTGCTCCCCAGCCTGGCCCTCTCCCCACGGCCCTGCCCTGCCCTGCGCCTCGGCACCAACCCTGGGGCTGGCCTGGCCTCCACACTGCCCCCACCCCTCCATGACCAGAGCCTTCCAGGCTGCCCTGCCCTGACGCTGTCCTACCCACAGCTGCGGTCCTACAACAGACACACGCTGGTGGCAGACCCCTACGAAGAAGCCTGGAACCAGATGCTGCTCCGGAGGCAGAAGGCCCGGCAGCTGGAGCAGAAGGTAGCCGCTGCCTGTCTCCGGGAATCTGTATCCCTCCCACTCACCCAGACTCCGCCACGGCCCTCTGAGGAACTGCGCCCATTCTAGAAACAGGGTTTGGCTTTCGAGGGGCTTGTTGGCAGTGTAAGAGCGTGGAGAGCCATGAAGAGTTCTAAGCAAGGGACTGGCATGGAGGTGGGGGGCGTGGTTGGGTTAGGGCGGTGGCAGGGACAGGAATGGGTGGGTTTAAGGCTGGGCAGTGTAGGTGCCTGTTTAAGGCACAGGCACAAGGGAGGGGGAGCGAGTGCCCGCACCCACGGAAGGTGGGGTGTGCAGGACCGGGTGCTGTCCTGAGGGGCTCCCTCTGCCCAGCTGCCTGTGCTCACCCCACGTGTCCTCTCTTTTCAGATCAACAACTACCTGACAGTGCCGGCCCACAAGCTGGACTCTCCCACCATGTCCCGGGCCCGCATCGGCTCAGGTAAGGCCTCTGAACCACTGCCTCCTGAGGATGGGCACAGGCCTCCACCACCTGGAGGACAGGCCTCGCCCTCGCTGACCCCAGGGGCCCCTCCCAAGCCGTGAGCTGCTTCCAGGTCAGGGGCCATCCCTAGGGAGAGAGACTCTTGGGTGAGGATGGTGCAGGGAGCTGGGAGAGACAGGGGGCCTGTCCGAAAGGCAGGGTGTCTGCCCCATGGGGATCCCAACGTGTGGGGAAGGCGAGGGCAGGGCCCCAGGGCAGACTGTGACTTGGGGAAGCCCCAGGTTTGGCCTATGGAGGGACACCTCTGGGAGCCCCTGGCAGAGGAGAGGGCCACAGTCTGAGGAAGAGACGCTGTGGGCTAGAGGGTCACAGAGGCCTGCTTCTGAGGCCAGTGAGGACCAGGCCAGCTGCACTGGTGAGGGGACCTGCAGGAGGCGCTGACGCAGCTGAGTGGCACATGCCTGGCCTGGCCCCGGAGCCGAACCCAGCCTGTGCCTTACTCTTGGTCCCCAGACCCGCTGGCCTATGAGCCGAAGGAGGACTTGCCTGTCATCACCATTGACCCGGCCTCTCCACAGTCACCCGAGTCTGTGGACCTGGTGAATGAAGAGCTGAAGGGCAAGGTCTTGGGGTTGAGCCGGGATCCTGCGAAGGTGGCCGAGGAGGACGAGGATGACGATGGGGGCATTGTGATGCGGAGCAAGGAGACTTCGTCCCCAGGAACCGAGGATGTCTTCACCCCCGGGCCCAGTGACAGCCCCAGCTCCCAGAGGATACAGCGCTGCCTCAGTGACCCAGGCCCACACCCTGAGCCTGGGGAGGGAGAACCGTTCATCCCCAAGGGGCAGTAGCACCAGGGCCAGCAGGCAGTGCCCGTCCCCTCACAGACTCTCCCACCAGAGCAGGGGCTGCTGGGGGCTCCCCTTGCCGTTCCTGACCCGGATGGGCCCTGCCCCTCCCCCTACCGCATGGCAGCTGGGCCCACAGCCCCCACCCCAGAACAGCTTCTCCCTCCCCCACCTGGGAAGCCTCCTCCACACCAGAACTGCCTCCCCAATCCATGTGGCAGAATTGCTCGGGCTGGTGAGGCCGGTCCTGCCCTCCCCTAGATCCAGGCTTTTCCAGGACCTGGACTAGGGCCTCGGAGGCTCTTCCCTCTGCCATCCCCCTCCTCGTTCAGACCAATCCTAGTTTCCAACCAAAGAGTCTCTGGCTCAGCTGTGGTCCCACCCAGGAAGGGAGGGAGCTGAGGCCTCCCTCAAGCAGGCCCTGCTTTATCAGGGGACACACCAGGGGTACCAGGCATCTGGCTGGGGGAGGGACTGCTGGCCCACCAAGGTCTCACACTCCTCCTGCCAGCTCTGTCACCCTGGCCACCACCTCGACCTGTCCTTACTCAGAGCTGCGGGCTGAGGGCATCTCTGAGTGTCTCTGCCTGGAGCAGGGGTGGTTTCTACGGTGACAGTGACGTGACTCAGAGCTTTCCAAACTGTGCTCCCACGGGGACCACTGGCCCTCAGGGGATGCTGCTGGGGAAGGACTGGCTGTGGCTCCAGAATGTGCTGCCTTTTTTAAGTTTCGTTTGTTCATACTTCCATATATATGATTGTTTTTGCACAGAGGGCACTCCTATTTTTAAAACGTTTTGAAAACTCCTGGCTGAACAGTGCTCTGCCCTCTTAACTCCCCTCTCACACTCCAGGAATGACCCCTCCTCATTTGTGCCTGTCTGTCCAACCCCCCCCCGCCCCACCACGTTTCTCAAGAGCCTGCTGGGCTCTTGACTGTGGCCTGAAGGCTCTGACATCAGAAGTGACTCCCACGCCTAATCAAGAGTCTCTCCAACCTCACAGATGCTGGGCCTCTGGGCACCTGCCTAGCTCTTGGGCCTGACCTTCAGTCCTGCTGGCCTGCTCTTACTTCCCCCACCCTGGGTTTGGCCCCTGGAAAGCACCCCTCGTGTGTACCACACCCTGTCTGCTGTGGAGCCCACTGTGGAGTTGGGGGTGGGGGAGGGTGGAGAAGGCCTCCCCTGAGGATCTCCTGTCCCCCAAGGCTGGTGGGCTGGGCAGAATCCTGGGCCCCCAAGAGGCCTTTGCTCACACACACTCCTTTCCCCTGTCCCCAGGGCACTCCCCCAGGATCGTGCAATAGTCAGAGTGTCCCTCTTTGCAGGGGACTGGGCCGTGGGTCCTCGGCCCATCTGTCCATCCTCCTCTCCATGCAAGTGCTGTTTGGGCAGGAGTCACCATGCAAGGGTGACGTCGGCAACCATGTACCAAGCCACCGCAGCTGCTGCCACTCTGCCGCCTGTACAGAAGAAACTGAATCTTTTTCATATTCTAATAAATCAATGTGAGTTTTTGGTAGAGTCCAGGGCTGCTTCCTGGGGACAAGGGTCTTCAGGAGGGAGATTGGCCTGGGGGCCTGAAGTACTTAGTTCAGAGGCTGGCACAGAAACACTTCGTGACTGCCAGTGGCTCAGGTGGTGGTTCCCACATGCCAGGCACTGATCTGCGGCGATGAGCTAAGCAGGACATGCCCTGCTCCATGGGCGAGAGCGGCACCAACCAGTGCCCCATGTTTGCAAGAGGTGAATAAGAGAGGGTAGGGAGGGGCGGCGAGGAGGACCCTCCTGAGTCCTGAGCAAGTGATATCCCAGGAGGGGACTGAAGAAGGAGCTGAGGCCTCCAGGTGGAGAAGGACTCAGAAAGTACCCAAACATTCTAACTGACAGCTGTGCCCACGAACACTGGGACCTGAGAAAAAGCCAGGTGGCTGGGTCAGAGTGACAGCAGGGGAGGCAAGGATGGGGCCTCATGCTCTGCAGTTAAGATTTTGGTCTTAACTATGGGAAGTCACTGAAGGCCTTAAGTTCTTACCTGTAAACGGGACAGTGCCCCCACACTGTGAGATAAGCTCAGGTGTGTACAGACCGAGCATCCCTAATCAGAAAACCCAACACTGCCACAAATGGAGAATTCACACCTGACCTCATGAGACAGGCTGTACAAAATTATTTAAAATATATAAAATTGGGCTGGTCACAGTGGCTCATGCCTGTAATCCCAGCACTTTGGGAGGCTGAGGCAGGCGGACCACCTGAGGTCAGGAGTTCAAGGTCAGCCTGGCCAACATGGCAAAACCCCATCTCTACTAAAAATACAAAAATTAGCTGGGTGTGGTGGCACATGCGTATAATCCCAGCTACTCAGGAGGCTGAGGCAGGGAGAATAACTTGAACCCAGGAGGCGGAGGTTGCAGTGAGCCGAGATCGCACCACTGCACTCCAGCCTGGGCAACAGAGCCAGACTCCGTCTCAAAAAAAATAAAAATACATAGAGTTACCTTCAGGCTATGTGTATAAACTGTATATGAAACATAAGTGAATTTCGTGTTTAGACTTGGATTCTGTCCCCAAGATATCTCATTATATATATGCAAATATTCCAAAATCTGAAATACTTCCGCTTTCAAGCATTTTGTTTAAGGATTGCTAATGGGCTTGGTTCAGGAGAGGTTGTAGTCCTGAGATACGGTTCCTGGAGCTGACCACCAGAGGGCAGTAGGGCCTTGGCGCGCACCCCAGGCACCCCTCGACCTGGGCTCTCCAGGAAAGCATCTCCATTGCCCAGCCTGGGACCGGAGTATGGAGCTGGTTTGACTCACAAACTCTGAGAGGGTCAGCGCCAAGAGAATTCCGGGGTTATTATTATAGGACTTTTCCTGTATTCATCGGTGCCCAGCAGGAAATGGATGTTACAGCCATCCCTCCATATTTTCTGGGGATTGGTTCCAGGACCCACATGGAAACCAAAATTCTTGGATGCACAAGTTCCTGATATAAAATGGTGTAGTACTGGCCAGGCACCGTGGCTTACGCTTGTAATCCCAGCACTTTAAGAGGCCAAGGCAGGCGGATCACCTGAGGTCAGGAGTTTGAAACCACCTTGACCGACATGGAGAAATCCGTTCTATTAAAAATACAAAATTAGCTGGACGAGGTGGCTCACGCCTGTAATCCCAACACTTTGGGAGGCTGAGGCGGGCAGATAACAAGGTCAGGAAATCGAGACTATCCTGGCTAACACAGTGAAACCCTGTATCTATTAAAAATAAAAATAAAATTCAAAATTAGCCGGGCATGGTGGCACATGCCCTATAATCCTAGCTACTTGGGAGGCTGAGGCAGGAGAATCCCTTGAACCCTGGAGGTGGAGGTTGCAGTGAGCCAAGATCATGCCACTGCACTCCAGCCTGGGCAACAAGAGCGAAACTCTTATAAAATATATAAATATATAAAATATGTATATATATTATTTAAAAATATGTATATATATTTAAAATATGTATATATATATTAGTTGGGCATGGTGGCTGGCGCCTGTAGTCCCAGCTACTCAGGAGGCTGAGGTAGGAGAATTGCTTGAACCCAGGAGGCGGAGGTTGCAGTGAGCCGGATGGCACCACTGCACTCCAGCCTGGGTGACAGAGTGAGACTCCCATCTCAAAAAAAAAAAGAAAGTGGGGTAGTACTGTTGGCCCTTCACAGATTCTGCATCCATGGATTCAACCAGCTGCAATTGAGAATATTTGGGGGGAAAAAATCCAAATAATAAAGTATAACAACTACTTACATAGTATTTACATTGTATTAGGTATTATAAGTAATCTAGAGATGATTTAACGTATCTGGGAGATGGCGGGGTACAGTGGTTCACGCCTGTAATCCCAGCACTTTGGGAGGCCAAGGCGGGTGGATCATTTGAAGTCAGGAGTTCAAGACCAGCCTGACCAACATGGTGAAATCCCACCTCTACTAAAAAAAAAAAAAAAAAAAAAAAAAAACCAACAAAAAAAAAAAAAAAAAAAAAAAAAAAAAAAAAAAAATCAGCTGAGTGTGGTGGTGCAAGCCTGTAGTCCCAGCTACTGGGGAGGCTGAGGCAGGAGAATCACTTGATCCCAGGATGCGGAGGTTGCAGGGAGCCAAGATCGTGCCACTGCACTCCAGCCTGGGTGGCAAAAAAAGTATATGGAAGAATGTATGAATGTTATATGCAAATACTACATTATTTTACATAAAGGACTTGAGTATCTCTGGATTTTGGTATCTGTAGGGGGTCCTCGAACCAATCCCCCAAGGATAACCAAGAGATGAATGCATTTGCATATAACTAACACTCATCTTCCCATATACATTTTTTTTTTTTTTGAGACGGAGTCTCACTCTATCACCCAGGCTACAGTGCTGTGGCAGGATCTCAGCTCACTGCAACCTCTGCCTCCTGGGTTCAAGTGATTCTTCTGTCTCAGCCTCCCCAGTAGCTGGGACTACAGGCATATGCCACTATTCCCAGCTAACTTTTGTGTTTTTAGTAGAGACGCTTTCACCATGTTGGTCAGGCTGGTCTCAAACTCCTGATTTCCAATGATCTGCCTGCCTTGGCCTCCCAAAGTGCTGGAATTACAGGCGTGAGCCACCGTGCCTGGCCCCATATACTTTAAATCATTTGTAGATTAGCTGTAATACCTAATACAATGTAAATGCTGTGTAAGTAGCTGTCTGCTGGGTACGGAGGCTTATGCCTGTAATCCCAGCACTTTGGGAGGCAGAGATGGGTGGATCACTTGAGCCCAGGAATTCAAGACCAGTCTGGGAAACATGGTGAAACCCCACCTCTACAAAAAATGGAAAAATTCGCCGGGCATGGTGGTGCACACCTTATGGTCCCAGCTACTTGGGAGGATGAGGTGGGAGGATCTCTTGAGCCCGGGAGGCCGAGGCTGTAGTGAGCCATTGCACCACTGTACTCCAGCCTGGGCAGCAGAGCAAGACTCTGTCTAAAAAAATAAAGTTGTTATACTGGTTTTTAAAGTTGTATCTTTATTGTTATTTTTTCTTTATTATTTTTTTTGTTTTGTTTTCAATTTGTGCTTGGTTGAATCTAAGGCCAAAGAACCCTAGGGTACAGAGGTGACTGTATATTCAAAGGGGTACCAAAAGCCTTCAACTAAGGAATTAATTAGATATATGGGTGGGGTTATGGGAACCTACCAGGGATGGGACCCAGCAGGGCTTACACTACAGGAAGTTGTTACAAATCCTAGACCTGAATGGGCTAGAGGAGGGAGCTCTCATCATGGGAGGGGACTGCCCGGCTAGAGCTGTGGTCATGCTTAGAAAGCCCCTACCAGAGAGGGAGCTGGGGAGGTTGTGGGTGCACATCTTTCATCATGATGGTGCTTCCCACCGGCCAATCCCAACTGAAAGCTGGAAGGGAAGGCAGCCAGAGCAGGTCAGCCCTTCATCGAATGGGGAGTGTGGATGTGGAAGGGAAACAGGAGAGCCAAGCAGGGCTTCACCCCTCAGCACCCACTCTTGTCCTTTGGGGGAAAACCTCATGTCCCTATTACTCAATGGTTACAGAATTTCTGTTTGGGATGATGAAAAAGTTTTGGAAATAGATTGTGGTGGTGGTTGCACAATGCCATGAATACACTAGATGCCACTGAAGTGTCTGCATTAAAATGGTTTCATGTTATGTGAATTTCATCTTCATTTTTTTAAATGGAAGAAACAGCCTCATCAACATCTTGTCAGATTCACCCTGTTCTTGTTAACCTTCAGTCATACTCACCTGGAGCCTAACTTAACACGTTAGTCATCACCAGGGCTCTTTAAATAAGACAACAGGGCATGCAAATAACAACAGAAACTTGCTACAGCCTCACTTTGGCAGCTGGTCACCAGGCCCAAGTTAGCAATCACAGTGTCCTTCCTCCACCCCCTCTTTCCTCTAACCACGTGCCAGCACTTTGGCTGACTGGGGTTTTTACACGGTAGGGTGTCCTAAACCTTTACTCCTGTGCAATTCAGCCTCTTCTGTCTTCTTCTTCTTCTTTTTTTTTTTTTTTTTTTGAGATGGAGTTTCACTCTTGTTGCCCAGGCTGGAGTGCAACGGCGTGATCTCGGCTCACCACAACCTCCACCTCCCAGGTTCAAGCTATTCTCCTGCCTCAGCCTCCCGAGTAGCTGGGATTACAGGCATGTGCCACCACGCCCAGCCAATTTTCTATTTTTAGTAGAGACAGTGTTTCACCATGTTGGCCAGGCTGGTCTCGAACTCCTGACCTCAGGTGATCCACCCACCTTGGCCTCCCAAAGTGCTGGGATTACAAGCATGAGCCACCACACCTGGCCCTCTTCTGTCTTATGTTTGTTGGGCTGTCACATTTCCCGTTCACTGTCAATAATGGACGAGGGGGTTGGGGGCACTGAGGTACCTGGTGAATCCCGTTTTCTGTCATTGTCTTCTGACCGCCCCATGTTGTGTAGCAGGAACTTATTTTCCTCTGGCAATCCTGGATGAT